GATTAGTAACAAAACGCGGTCTTGAGGCGTTTGTTAACCTGCCGGTCTGTTTTTCTCTTGGAAGCAAATTATTTGCGAGGCTGCTCGAGGTGGGTGAGGAGAATGACATTATTTTTCGACTATTGAAGTACCGTTGAGTGTTAATTCCGGAATTTTTGGAGCGGTGCATTCTGCTCGCATTTCTGAGTAGAGACTTTGTGGAAAATATAGTGCCAGGCCTCAACGAGTTGCCTCCACCAGGACATCGTCGGCAACAGAGATGTGTGCAGCAATCGAACCCCGAAAAGCATCCAAGCAGACCCGTTGGATTAATGGCGCTGGGGCACACTCCTCCGATGTTGGATGCACAATACAAGGTGCTATACGTACCGGAGAGCAGAATCTTTCCGCTTGTGGACGCCTTTTTCTTCGTTGGTGCACCGCGGAGGACGATGGTTGCGGTGCAGGTGAGACGACGAGGGATGAGCATGGCACCAGAACCAGCACGGTGAGGCGGTTCAACAGTCTTCCACGGAGTTATTTTAATGGTTGGGAAACGCTTGCGGAAGACTTGTCGTGGGAGATGATTTACGTGCAGCATGAGGACAGTACGGCAATAAGCGCGTGGCAGGGGTGTGTTGTCGTCGCGTACACAAATGTGGCGGGCCGCAATGAGCGTGAGGATCCTCAGGCCATTGCGGCATTTTGGAATCAGCGGGTGCGTCAGTGCCAGGTGGCGGTGTTAGCTGAAAATTTTAGAAGTGAACGACAAACCCAACGTGGGCGGCAACCAGAGGGACAAGGAAAAGGAGGAGGGGAACAAGCAGCTTGAGTTTACTGGTGAAGTATTTTAGGGAGTAAGATATATTGCTAAGTGTGTTTGTGTGTGGGTAGGAGGCGTTCTTAGGGACTCGCTCTGCCGTGCGCCAAATGATTATTGTGGCCAGCGCTACCACAGAAGCACCTTTTGTGTTGTGGTTGTGAGAAAAATTGTGTGGGGAATGATGGCGCCTTGTGGGTGCACGCCGGCAGTGTTCGATTGGTGATGTCTCCTCGCTGTTCCCAGTTTGTTGCTGCAGAGAGTTTGGGCGAGAGGGTAAGTTTTGCATGCTGAGTGGGTTCACAGGCAGCAAAGCAAATGCGGCGGCCACCACAGCCCAGAGGTCAGGGGGCAAACCGAATTATTGTGATTGCTTTTGTGTGTTGGCGTGATGTTTTTCCTTTTTGTTTTTTGGGTGCCATCGTTTTTGGTTGGCGTGCGGCTCCAATGGGGGGTGCCGCATGCACCGCTGAGAGCCTCGAGCAAACACCGTTGTCGCCTCTCTTTTGTTGGTTTGCCGTCCTGGGCGCATGCGCCTGTTCCGTTTTGTTCGAGTTGCATGCACTGATCGGGCAGTCTGAGACCACGGCTGCGCTGGCGTCGCCCTCGCTTGCAAGCGGAACGAGGCGTGGAAGAAATGGTGCTGCATGCGTCTTTTTTATTTTTATTATTATTTTTGTTTGTTACGCTGCGCCCCACTCCTGCTGCAGTGCGCTGAGGGAAGTGGGGGGGCGTTGGGGTTTTTGTAAGGGCTGCGATGGGAGGAGGTCCCGCCGGCATGCGCACTGCGTGTTGCCGCTGGCGGGGTTTGAAGGGGCTGGGCGGGGGGAGACGGTAAGCGAGGTGCTTATGAATTTGTTTTGTATTATTTTTGAT